CAGCCTCCTCTACCCGGGCCTGTCACCCCCTTTTGGGCTCCCTGGGTGTCCTTGCTTGGAGGAGGTGGGGGCCAGGCGGGCGGCTAGTGTTGGAGGTGGGTGGTCGTCGGTCACCAAGCTTCGGGTACTTGTGTCGGTTTCGGGGCCATGTGCCTGCCCCGGTGTGCTTAGCTTGACGCCCCTTAGAGCGCGCTTCCCAGGCCCTTCCCGCTGGGTCCTGGCGCGTACCTGCTTCCATAGCTCGTTTTAACCCTTCCCGACTCCATTTACACTAAAGCTCCAGTCGGGACGTTCCTGTGTGGACAGCACCCGCCCGGCCTGCAATGGACATGGGGCTGAGGGCGCTGGGCCGGGGAGTCTTGCTTTGGGGGTTTTGTTTGGGGTTTTTTAAATGCATGCCAAATGTGTGGTATTTTTTTTCCTTGATTTGTAATATACATTTTAAGACTGGAAACTTTTGTACAACACTCCAATAAACACTTCGATTTTAATCGGTGCTTGTTTAGTTGCTGTCAAAACCGGGACACTAATATTCGTGCTCTCCGCTGCCCCGCCTCCCTGCCGCCCTTTTTCTATAGTCCGCAAGGGTGGAAATTCGTCGTCTCCTTGTGCGCATGGGCGAGTTTGCCAGACGCGGGGTGGGGCCTAGATGCCAAAATCCCCGAGTTGCACCGGGTATATCTATTGCGCCTGCGCAAGGAGCCCGGCAGGGCTTTGTGGGTTTATATTCTGGACTCGCCCACTGTACTTGGGCCAGGCGGCTTCCTGCCAGCTGTGTGACTGACGCGCGGGGCCTTGCGAGAGTCGCAGCTTGGACTACACTTCCCGTGGTGCTCCGGGCGACCCAGCTTCTGACGACTGGGGGGTTGGACCTGGCGCGGCGGCAGCAGGGTTGGCTTTGGAGCCGGGAAGGGTGGCTTCGGCGCCGGAAAACCTGACCTGGGACTCGTCGTGGAGCAGGTGAAGATACAGATTGCCGTGGCTAAGGAGCAGGAGCTGCTGCTGGTGCGGGCTGCGCCCCAATGGGGGTGAGACTGCTTGGGTAACACCAGGGGCGTGGCGGAGGTCGCCCGTGTGTCCACAGAGGTTGACCGACACGTGTTTGCAGAAGTGCGCTGGGCAGCTGCAGTGCTCCCTGCACAGCTTGGAGCAGGGGAGAGCGCCCGGAGGCCTGGGTGGGGAGGGTTCTTTGAGTGTTGGCCCATGCAAGGAGGCGCGGGGTGTACGCGCGCAAGTTGTCGCAGCGGCACAGCGAGCTTTACACTCACGCGTGGGCTGGGATCCTGGGCGTCCAGGCGTGCACAGAGCAGCCCGAGCGGCCTGGAGCGTGGCCTGCAGTCCGTGAGTTCAGGGGTCCAGCGTGCAGTAGAGGCTGTTGCCCTGGTCACTCTGCCATCACAATGGAAAAGCAGCTGTGAGGTGAACGAAGTTTTAGGGCTGGGTGCCCATGAAACTACAGAAACAGGCACTGGAGCTGCGTGCGGCGCGGCGCCGCGGTCACCTCGGCACGAAGGGAGCCTGAGGCCTGAAGACCCTAACTTCGGACCCCGCCTGGGCAACTTAGCGACTTGGCAAGACGCAAAACAGTTTAAAGGGCTGGAGATGTAGGTCAGTCCCCAGGACTGGAAAAAAATTGCTTTTATTTATTCATTGCTAAGCCCTTCCGAGTCTCTCTCCTTTCCTCTCTTCTTCCTTGTGCAGGGCATGGCCCGGGGCCTGGTGCATGCTAGGCAAGCGCTCACCACTGAGCCGCACCTCCAGCCCCCTGTGGATTTTCTCATGGATGAGACACCTGCTGGGACCCC